AATAGCAGACAAAAAGATGTGATAAATAGATGAAACGATGTGATAAATAGACCAAAAGATGTGATAAATAGATGAAACGATGTGATAAATAGATGAAACGATGTGATAAATAGACAAAAAGATGTGATAAATGGGATAAATAGATTGAAAAGATATGATAAATAGATGAAACGATGTGATAAATAGATGAAACGATGTGATAAATAGACAAAAAGATGTGATAAATGGGATAAATAGATTGAAAAGATATGATAAATAGATGAAACGATGTGATAAATAGACAAAAAGATGTGATAAATGGGATAAATAGATTGAAAAGATATGATAAATAGATGAAACGATGTGATAAATAGACAAAAAGATGTGATAAATAGATGAAACGATGTGATAAATAGATGAAACGATGTGATAAATAGACAAAAAGATGTGATAAATAGACAAAAAGATGTGATAAATAGACAAAAAGATGTGATAAATAGACAAAAAGATGTGATAAATAGATGAAACGATGTGATAAATAGACAAAAAGATGTGATAAATAGACAAAAAGATGTGATAAATAAATGAAACGATGTGATAAATAGACAAAAATATGTGATAAATGGGATAAATACATTGAAAAGATATGATAAATAGATGAAACGATGTGATAAATAGATGAAACGATGTGATAAATAGACAAAAAGATGTGATAAATAGACCAAAAGATGTGATAAATAAATGAAACGATGTGATAAATAGACAAAAATATGTGATAAATGGGATAAATACATTGAAAAGATATGATAAATAGATGAAACGATGTGATAAATAGACAAAAAAGATGTGATAAATAGACAAAAAGATGTGATAAATAGACAAAAATATGTGATAAATGGGATAAATAGATTGAAAAGATATGATAAATAGATGAAACGATGTGATAAATAGATGAAACGATGTGATAAATAGACAAAAAGATGTGATAAATAGACAAAAAGATGTGATAAATAGACAAAAAGATGTGATAAATAGACAAAAAGATGTGATAAATAGACAAAAAGATGTGATAAATAGACAAAAATATGTGATAAATGGGATAAATAGATTGAAAAGATATGATAAATAGATGAAACGATGTGATAAATAGACAAAAAGATGTGATAAATAGACAAAAAGATGTGATAAATAGACAAAAAGATGTGATAAATAGATGAAACGATGTGATAAATAGATGAAACGATGTGATAAATAGATGAAACGATGTGATAAATAGATGAAACGATGTGATAAATAGATGAAACGATGTGATAAATAGATGAAACGATGTGATAAATAGACAAAAAGATGTGATAAATAGACAAAAAGATGTGATAAATGGGATAAATAGATTGAAAAGATATGATAAATAGATGAAACGATGTGATAAATAGATGAAACGATGTGATAAATAGACAAAAATATGTGATAAATGGGATAAATAGATTGAAAAGATATGATAAATAGATGAAACGATGTGATAAATAGATGAAACGATGTGATAAATAGATGAAACGATGTGATAAATAGACAAAAAGATGTGATAAATAGATGAAACGATGTGATAAATAGACAAAAAGATGTGATAAATAGATGAAACGATGTGATAAATAGACAAAAAGATGTGATAAATAGATGAAACGATGTGATAAATAGATGAAACGATGTGATAAATAGATGAAACGATGTGATAAATAGACAAAAATATGTGATAAATGGGATAAATAGATTGAAAAGATATGATAAATAGATGAAACGATGTGATAAATAGATGAAACGATGTGATAAATAGATGAAACGATGTGATAAATAGATGAAACGATGTGATAAATAGATGAAACGATGTGATAAATAGACAAAAATATGTGATAAATGGGATAAATAGATTGAAAAGATATGATAAATAGATGAAACGATGTGATAAATAGATGAAACGATGTGATAAATAGACAAAAAGATGTGATAAATAGATGAAACGATGTGATAAATAGATGAAACGATGTGATAAATAGATTGAAAAGATATGATAAATAGATGAAACGATGTGATAAATAGACAAAAAGATGTGATAAATGGGATAAATAGATTGAAAAGATATGATAAATAGATGAAACGATAGATAATGCAAAAAGAAAAAGAAAATGCAAATGAATGTTGAAAAAAAAATAGGAAGACGGATGATTCATGAAATATAGATAATATAGAAAATTGTACTAATGTACGAAAACAAATAACACGATATCAGCTACAAAAAACAATTACACTAACATTATTTTTTTCTTCTAAATAGGGTAAAACGATAATAATAATAACACAGAAAAATAAACATAGACATGAAAAAAGCAACGGCCACCTCCATACAGCGCCCACCTGTACTCTCGACGTGTGGATCCCGCCTGCCTTTTCTTCTGACCTTCGTGTATTCCGGCTCCTTTTGCTGCCGGAAAGGGCGTCAGGGTTATCATGGGTCATTGAAGGGGGGCAAAATCTAGGTATGTTATCGATGTTGTCATTATCATTATCGTTATTATCATTATATAAAAGAAAAAAAAATCCCATCACAAAATTAGCCATTTACATTCACGAACCAACACCCACTGACACCCTCTATCTCCCACTAACCGTGATCCACTCATACCCCCCTCACCCTTACCCACCAATGCACCCTTCCCCCCCACCCACCCACCAATGCACCCTTCACCCCCCCCCCTACACACACACTACTCTCCAACGTACATGTCTGAGAGGGAAGGTTTCGAGAGGAGCCATCTTGGGGTCGTGGTAGACGAAGGCCCCCTGCACAGAGTGGTACGGCCCGGAGTAGACGATGCCCGAGTCCGTGCTCTCGCCGTACTGGCTCTTGGGCACGGCAGGCAGCTGGAAGGTCGCGTAAGGGCAGATATCCTCGATGTATTCTGTTGGAGAGGGAAAGGAGGGAGGGAGGGAGTTAGTGAAGGGGGTTCGAGGAGGAGGGACTTTGCGTTGAGAAATTCGGTGTCTCTTGTTTACATGAGGTGGGATGTGGGTCGCGGGGAGGAGGAACGTGTTTTATTTTCGTTTGTTTTTGTCTTTCTTTCTTTTTCTATCTTCTGGAGTCGTTTGAAGGAGGTTTAGGAATAGTGTAAAGACCCCGACGTGCTCTGTGGAAGGGAGGTGGGATGGTGCCGAAACAGGACTCGAATGGAGAAGAGGTTTGAAGGTTGAAGGAAAGAAGTTTGTTTAGGAATAGGGATTTCTGTGTCCTCTAGGAGGCATTTTGTCTTCATAAGTGGCTATAGTATAATTAAATGATAAGCATGGGCATTCCAGGTATTGTTTAAGGGCAGATGTCTTTGATGTACTCTGCGGGGCGAAGGAAAGGATGGGAAAGAATAAGGAAAAATAAAATAAAACTTTCAGTTCTTCTTAAGGAGCAGTAGTGTGGTTAGAAAAAAAGACTAAAGAACTTCCAAAACATCAATAATAGCAGAAACTTGTGAAAGACAAAATAAACGACGCAGAATTATATTGTAAAATATCAACAGAAATTATCTAAACAAAATGTAACCGAAATTATGTAACGGAAAAGATAAATTCATCATAAATATGGATGTCGAGGTGGTAACACAGATTGAGTGAAGTTTCAGAGATCGATAAAAAATAAAAACAGGGAAGTTTCATTAATCAATGATATTTCACCAGACCATTAAAAACATTAAATAAATGATAATGGAAAAATAACATGGAAGAAAACAGAAACAATATATTTGATTTATTGGAACAAAACATAAAAAACATTACAGTGATAAAAGCATAAAAGTCGAACCTTTGACAAAACAAAAAATCCCTATCACACTAAAATAAACAGCCGCAGAAATGTATTTATGTAAAGTGATTAATCATCAATTAAGAAAATAAAATAAAAAGTGTTTGTAAACTATTACAAAAACAGAGCAGGCTGCGAGGAATGTAGAAATAGTGTGAAAACGAATACCTTCACAGTGTAAGAGATGTAACAGATGTCTTCATTAGAATTAAGATGGAGATATATATTTAAGATGTAGATATATAATTAAGATGTAAATATATAATCAAGATACAGATATATATTCAAAATGTAGATATATAATTAATATGTAGATACAAATTTAAGACATAGGTATAAAAAAATACATATAAATTTTCTCCAAAGACTATAAAAAAAACACAACAGGTACATTCATCACAACAGAAAATATTAACATGGTTTAGCTGTATCTTGTCTAACGTGTAGTTCCTCTAATCCTGGACACATCCACCAATCGAGACAGGATATTAGATACAAGCTCTATAGTATAACTTAGATCTACAATAGACGAAAGTAAGGCATAGCAGATAACAACAATGCACTATAACTCATATACAATTTTTTAAAACTAAATCAATATCAACAGAAAAAAAAATACAGGCAGTCGAAATTAATATACAAAAAAATATCTAAAAAAACATAAACACATACTTACAAATGTAAACCGACAGAATGAAATAACAAACAGCAACTGAAATGCAGAAGGATTTAAACATAAATATTCTCATAAAAAAAGACGATTCAGGTGCTGGCTTCCTAATACACAAAACAAAAAACTTAAAACGAAAATACATAAAAAATCTATCAATACACGCCATCTCCGGCCATGCGAGATATACGATCCGTTGCAAAGAGAGATGCTTGTTGCGTGCAATAACAAAAATACATGGAGTAATGATAATCATGATAACAATAGTACATGAAAATGTAAAAAAAGCACTAATACATAGAAACGCTAAAAAAAATAACAAAAATAATGATTATATATATATATATATATATACATATACATATATTCATATATATATGTGTGTGTGTGTATATGTGTGTGTATGTATGTGTGTGTGTGTGTGTGTGTGTGTGTGTGTGTGTGTGTGTGTGTGTGTGTGTGTGTGTGTGCGTGCGTGCGTGCGTGCGTGCGTGCGTGCGTGCGTGCGTGCGTGCGTGTGCGTGTGCGTGTGCGTGTGCGTGTATGTGTATGTGTATGTGTATGTGTATGTATATGTATATGTATATGTATATGTATATGTATATGTATATGTGTATGTGTATGTGTATGTGTATGTGTGTGCGTGTGCGCGCCCGCGTTTGTGTGTAAGCAACAACACCATGAACTATGAACAAAAGCCGCCGAACGAAGGCATGCAAATCAGGTCTACTGCGCCCCGCCCCCCTTAGCACCGGAGGAATCCTTGTTGGTGCTCGTGTCCTGCGTGGAGGGCGTGTTGGCCGGCAGCGCGGAGTACTGCTGGTGCTGGTTCTGCTGGTTCTGGATCTGGGCCGTCGAGGGCGACTCCGCGATGCCGCCAGAACTCCCCCGCTCGCGCATTTCTGGGGGGGGGGGGGGGGGGGGAATGAGATGAGATTCGGACCCAAGCGAACGAGAAGAAAAATGGTGAAATGGTGAATATCAATCCCCCAAAAATATATATATATTTTTGTTGTTGTTGTTGTCAGACTCAACTCTAAACGACAAGATAAACACAAATTGATCAAAAGAACTACTTCCCTAAATAAATAGATAAATAAATAGCAATAGTAATAATAATAATGATAATGATAATAATAACAATAGTAGTAGTAGTGGTAGTAGAAGTAGTAGTAGTAGTAGTAGTAGTAGTAGGAGTAATAATAATAATAATAATAATAATAATAGTAGTAGTAGTAGTAGTAGTAGTAATAATAATAATAATAATAATAATAATAATAATAGTAATAATAATAGTAATAATAATGATAACAGTAGAAGTAGAAGTAGTAGTAGTAGTACAAGTAATAATAATAATAATAATAATGATAATAATAATAATAATAATAATAATAATAATAATAACAATAATAATAATAATGATAATAATAATGATAATAAAAATAATAATAAAAATAATAATAGTAATAATAATAATAATAATAATAATAATAATAATAATAATAATTATAATGATAATAGTAGAAGTAGTAGTAGTAATAATAATAATGATAATAATAATAAAAAAATAAAATAAAAGAGACCGGACCCCCTCTCCCTGCCACTCACTCCTCCTCCTGAAGACGCAGACGATGGCCATTATGACCTCGATGACGATGACGACCACCACGGCCGCCGGGATGACGACGCGCAGGTCCTGGTACAGCGGCGGCGAGATGGCCAGGTCCTTCGTGCCGTCCTCGCCCGGCAGGAGCACTGGGGGAGGCAAGCGTTGAGGCGGAGGTGGAGGTAGATGTGAAGGTGGAGGTGGAATGTGGAGGTGGAACAGAGGTGGAGGTGGGGATGGAGGTGGAACAAAGATGGAGATGGAACGGGGAAGTAGAACAGAGGTGGAGGTGGAAGTGAAGGTGGAGGTGGAACAGAAGTGAAGGTGGAAGACAGTCGGAGATAGAGTTGGAACAGAGTAGTAAGCGAAGGTGGAGTTAGAACAGAGGTAGAAGTAGAACATAGGTGGAAATGGAAACGAAGGTGGAATGTGGAGGTGGAGGTGGAGTGACGAGGGAGCCTGGCACTGTCTAACGAGGCAATAGGAGGCGACTTGAGAGGCAGAAATGTCGTCGAAGGGAAATTCAAGTTGAAATCCGTAGGCTACACGAGGGGAAGCTGTTACATATATAATCAAACGTCCTGTCCTGATGACGTGTCTTTTAACATTTTGTTGAACAATTTATCAAAGAATCTGATAATTCGTGAATGATTTTATTTAGAGTTTTATCAATTTCATCTATTACTCTTTTTAACTCATTTTTTTTATCATTCCTGTATATTCTTATCGATGACTTTGTCGGTTATTTTTCATGGTTTAACATTTTATTGGGCAGTTTATCTTATACCTTGACTTTATTGATATGATTTATAGCAAACTTTAATAAACACTATTAGCTATATTGCTGTCACTTTATGGAACCCATTCGTAAACATCCTAAAACATGTTACCCAAACACGCAAAAGAACCTCAATTTAACCATATCACTGACCTTTCCACCAACCCCCACGCCATTTTGAAACCCTTCCCCCCCCCTCCCCCTTTTCTCCCCATTTCTCCCCCCACCCCCCTTTCCTCCCCCCTCCCCTTTTCCTCCCTCTCCTCTCTTCCTCCCCCTTTTCCTCCCTCTCTCCCCCTTCCCCCCCACGCCATCCTCACCTCCCTCCGGCGTTAGCGTCGTGACGTCATACGTGGCCACGCTGGACCCCGCGTGGTTGTGCGCCGTCACTCTCACGATGTAGCGCGTGGCCGGGATCAGGTCGCGGATGACGTAGGTCTTCTCGCTCGGCGCCACGTTGTTGGCCACCGAGATCCAGTCCTGAGGGAGCAGAACCACGTGAGGGAGGAAGCAGACCGGGAGGGATTCATGGTGCGCGTTTAGAGGGAGGAGTAGATACGTTCATATATGTGGGGCGTGTGTGATATATGGATGTTAAATACGTATATATGATGTAAAGATATATGTATGGTATAAGGATGTATAATATAAATATGATATAAAGAAATATATATATGATAGGAAAATGTAATTACGAAAATTCAATGATGTGGGGGCGATAAAGCAGACAGGCGAGCAGACTAAAAGCCAAAAGGAACAAACCTTTAAACAGCCCCCCCCCTAAAAAAAAACATAAACATCACGAAACATCCTCCTTATCCTCCCCCCCAACCCCCACACATCGTCCTCCTCCCAGCCACTCACCCTGGCAGACGCGACGCGATACTCGATGACGTAATAGAGGATGGGGCAGCCGCCGTCGCCCCACGTGCTCAGGTGGACCAGCACGGACGTCGAGTTGACATCCAGCATTCGGGAGCGACTTGGCACGACTGGCTCTGTGGGTGGGCGGCGTGGGCACCGTGGTCGGCGTGGGCGGGCGGCGGGGCGGGAGAGCGTGAGGGAGGGAAGTGGGTGAAAATTAGTGGTGGCACGATTTTGGGGGGTATTGATAGAACAATAAAACATATGGCTATGAGGTTAGCGTGAATGAGTGGAAGGGAAGAAAAAATCGACAAAACAGGTTTAATGCAAGAGCAGATTACGGTTTCAGTTTATTATCATCTGTATTATCATTATCATTATTATTATCAATATAATCATCATTATCATCATTAGCATTAGCATTATCAGAATTATAATTATCATTAACATTAGCATTAGCATTAGCATTTGCATCATTACTACAACAATTAATATTATAACAGTCATTATTGTATTTATCCCCTTCATCACCATTCCCAATATCACCACACCACTCCACTCAAACCACCTTCTAACCCTCTACTAAAATCCTTCCACTGCATCTCCTCTCGTAACGCGAAGGGCCCTAACTTACCCGACCCCTTGGTGGACGTGGTGAGAATCTCCGAGGGCAGTCCTGTGCCCACCTTGTTGTAGGCTGTGACGTAGAGCTGGTAGCGAGACCCGCAGACCAGGCCCGACAGCGTGTGCGTGGTCCTGGCCGTGTGTAACTCCACCTGGGGACGGATATGAGATTGATTTGTTGATGTTTATTGTAGTAGTAGTAGTAGTGATGGTGGTAATATTGATGGTTATTATCACAATCATAATAATAATAAAATAAAAACGTAAACACACACAGGGTCCCACCTCTTCCAAAGTAAAACAACAAAAAGGCAAACAAATACAGGAGCCCACCTCTTCTAATATAAAACAACAACAACACAAATGTAAACAAACACAGGGTCCCAATTGTTCCAGAGTAAAACAGCAGCAAAAACGTAAACAAACGCACCTCCTCCCAGTTGCCGTATTCCCTCTTGTAGTTCAGGATGTAGCCCCGGACGAGGGCGTGGTGTGGGCGGAGGCTCCAGCGCAGAGTGAGGGCGTCTCGGGAACTCCCTTGGACGTAGAGCGTGGGCGGCGCGGGCGGGACTGAGGTTGGGGGGAGACATTGCAAAGTGAGGTTGAAAATTAAATGAGGAATGTGCTGTAAAACTGCTGATGTGGACTGAAAAAAAAAATAGTAAGAGATATTTCAGCTTTGAGAAAATGTTTTATGCTTTTGGTTTCAGTTCACTAACAAATGACTAGTTGTAATATTCGGAACGTAATGGATTTAATTCGGTTAGCGTGGATTTCATTAACTGAATTTTACGTGCAAACACGAACAAACTATTATACCCGTTACCATGCATGATGTCAAAGAATTTCTTACATTAATAATCAATGTTTGTATCTTGTGATTAGAAATAACTAACCTAATACATAAATACAAATTATACAATTCTTGAATTTAATAAAAAAATATTAGAAGAATATAACTATTTGAGAGACACTCACTTGACACACTCGATTTATTTTAACTTAAAGAGAAAATATATATTATTGAAATTTTTTACTCTCTATTCCCTCCTTATACTCACTACCACTCCCCCCCCCTTACCCCTTACCCCCCCCCCCCCCCCCCCGCTGCACTCACCCTGCACCGTAAGAATGTACGTGATGCTGTCCGTGCCGTGCGTGTTGACGGCCGCGCAGCTCAGGTTCCCCGCGTCCGTTTTCTGCACGTCCCGGATGAACAGAGATCCGTTGGGACGAACCTGGGAAATCGAGGCGGTGGTTGAGGTAAGTGTTTGTTTGTCTGTGGCGTCTGTTTATCTCGTTTTCTTTTGTTGGTGTAGAAACATGCTTTTATTTTCACTCTATGACTTGTGCACTTTATTTTTATTGTGAGTATGCTGCAATGAATATACTATATACTGTGTATACTCTATGTAATTTCCTATGCTAATCTTGTCATTAATGTGCAAAAGGATGATTTATGAAGTGGTATATTCTGCAAGAAATGAACAAAATGGTATATAAAATAGCATCAATCATGACAATACATTGATTAAACCCTTCATTTACAGCCAATCAAGGTGTTGTTTGTAAAAAGGACTCGAATGCCTCCTTTCCTTCTGGGATTGTAATATTAAAGGAACATGGAAAGTCAGGGTATTTGTTTACGTTTGTTGTTTGTTGTAAATTGCATCAGTAAACGCCAATTTTTTTTTTAAGGATTATTCAAAACGTTTAGAAGAAGGTGGGAAGTCTAGAGTTTTATTAAAGTGTATGTGTATCATATCAGAACACCTCGCTTTCTTTTGGGGATTATGCGAATATTTAGATAAACTGCAAAGTCATAGTGTTTGTTGTGTGTATGTTGTTTGTTAATAACATCCGAATCTGGGAGGTTAATGTGTCTTTTAACGACATCCAATATTTAAGGAAAATTGCGTCTTCCTACCTGTAATATAATATTTGTCTGTACTGATTAATCGTGAATCATAATCACGATGTATAGATTTACTGTTTTAATCAAATGTTATAATCTTTAATCTAAAATTAATCACAATATATAGATTTCTTTCTTTACTTAAATGTTACAATCTATAATCTAAAACCACTATACGTAACTCCACGGAAAGCATTTTTTACCTGTATTCTGTCTGAGGGAGTGATCTTGTTGCCGTTGAGCTTCCACTCGATGTCTGGCGGAGGCTCCCCGACGGAGTGGCACTGCAGCCGCACGTCCTCCTTCCACGCCACCTCCAGGGGGCCGCCGAAGGACGCGATCTGGGCTCTGACTGAGAGAGGGGCGATGGGGGCGCTCAGTCGAAGGTGATGGACGATGCGGGGATTAACAATAGAACGCACGTACGTGAACATGCACACGTACGTACATGCACATATACACGTACCCTCATGCACACACACACACACACACACACACACACACACACACACACACACACACACACACACACACACACACACACACACACACACACACACACACACACAAACACACACACACACAAACACACACACACACGCACACACACACACACACACGCACACACACACACACACACACACACACACACACACACACACACACACACACACACACACACACACACACACACAGAAAACAGAAAAGTAATTAATGGTTTCCCTTCGCCCATGCCATTTTCACTTTCGCCCTTCAGATGAGCCCTGGTCTCGCCGGTAAACAGAACCACGACTGACCTTTCCTTCCCTTACCCCTTTGCCTTCCGGGTGGACATGTACCTCGTCAACAAAGAGATCCAGACACTTCCCTTTCCCTTTGCCTTGCCATTCTTATCTCCTTCCTTTTCCTTCCATCAACCGTATCCAACCAAAGTTACCCAAAACGTGGCCTTCCTTCCACATACAAGAATAAAAAAAACATTTAATCCATTACCTTTGCTTCCAACTTGCTCAAAACTCCCCCCCTTCCCCTTATCTCTCAGACGGACCTCCGCCTCGCCAACAAAATAGACCCAAACACTCCCCTAGACTTCACTTTACTTCATTTCCCATCCCTTTCCTTTCTCTCCCCTCTCCTCCCCTCTCCTCCCCTCCCCATTCCATACCCTCTCCTCCCCTCCCCTCCCCTCCCTTTCTCCTTCCCCTTCCCCTCCCCATTCATCATCTTATTCCCTTCCCTTCCCTCCCCTCCCCTCCCCCCTCCTCCCCTTCCCTCCCCTCCTCCCCTTCCCTTCCCTTCCCTCCCCTTCCCTCCCCTCCCCCCCTCCCCCCCCCACAACACAACAAAAGGCCGCGTCCTGCTTACCTTTGCTGCTCGGATGGACCTCGATCTTGCTCGTGGCTTTCCCCTCGCCCTTCTGCGTCGAGGCTGACACCCAGAACTCGTACTTGTCCTTGGTGCTGACGCTCTCCGCCACGTACGAGGTCTCGGCCGGGCCCAGGGTACGCGAGGGGAGCTCTCTCTGGGGGGAAGGACGGGGGGGTAAGCGAGGGGGAATCCGTGGAAGGCTGGTAAAGGTAAGTTAAGCTGAGCGAAAGGTAAAACTGGCGAACGGTTAAAGGGGTAAAGATAGATTAGAAAGTAAGGTAAGCGCAAGGGCAATGTTGAACGGTCTAAGGTTAGTAAAAGTACGTTATGTTGAGTGAGAGGGAAATGCTTAAATGTTAGAATGTAAAGGCAAGTTACCGTAAGCGAAGGAGAGCCTATGAAAGTGTAAATGGCAAAAGCAAGTTAACCGTAATTAGACTAAGTGAAAAACGACTGGTTGAAGATTAAAGGGGAAAAGGTAAGTTAATTGTTAGTAGGATAAGCAAAAGGGATATAAGAGGTAAGTAGGTTAATGACTTGTGGTAAGTTACGGAATGAGGAGAAAAGCTATGTAATAAAAGTTTTAAAAAAAGTTAACTGCAAGTAAATTGATGCGAATCCAGAGGTAGTCAGGTCAACTGTACGTTCACAGGAAAGTTGACTCTTAGGTCAAGAGCTAGTAAGTTACTATTAAGTATGGCCAGACGTAAGTAAAATAAATATAAACAAGACAGTTCAACAAGATAGCAAGGTAAGTGTGAGAAGTTAAACAGCAATAAAATGAACAGCGGAAAAGGTGCTGGGAAATTCGCTTTCTTGTCAGGCCATCTGCAGAGAGAGATTCTTAGTGACATCATAACTGCTTTACAAAAGGCATCTCGAGTTTCTAAGTCCTTCTTGAAGTGCTTCTGCTAATAATAAAAGAGTGAATAAGGACGCAAGATAAACCTAGCTAAATAAACACAGCAAAAAATGTAATAACCTTATGAAACGCACTGCAACTCTAATACTAACGAAAGCAGTAATAATCTGGCGTTAAAGTGGTCATATACTGTATAGAAATACTGCACATACTTTATTTTCATACTATATTTACAGTACTGGATATACTTTATATTGTATATACTTTATGGAGTACTGATAGCAATAATGTGTAAAAAAAAATATGAATTTTGATATAATTGCAAGAATTCAATGAGTGACAGTGATAAAACAGAGCTAAAATAATGGCTTGCAATGCATTCGCAAAAGTAAATATGCAATCCAAAAGCAACAAAACCGCAAGGCTCTTGCAAACACGAGCACCAACTGACCCGGCTCCCCTGGCTGCTGACGGCCATGTAGAGCGTGTACTTCGTCAGGATCCCGTTGACCTTGGCCGGCGGCAACCAGGTCACCAGCACCGTCTTGGCAGAGCTGATGACGGCCTTGATCCCGGCGGGGGCGTCGGGCACTGCAGGGGCACGGGGGAGGGAGAGGAAAGGAAAATACGTCGAGTAAAATGGCGTTTTTTTATTTTACGGATGCAAAAGTTAGTACGTATGTAGTGCATGTATAATTATATTCATTTTGCATTTTAAAACTAAACGTATCACAAAAGCATTGCTATGTCAATGAGAAACAGCTAAGTAAAACCAATACAACACTTAGATATACCACAAAATCACGACATTATTTTTAAAAAGGGCCCTACTCCTTCGCCTAACAAAGAGAACACAAGAAAACAGCCCTCGACAGCAAAGCACGACGGGCGAGGCAACTGACCATCCTGCAGCGTCCTGCAGTAGACGGGCGAAGAGGGGACCCCGTCGCCGGCGCTGGTGTAAGCGAGGACGCTGATGCTGTAGTTGGTGTACTTCTCGAGGCTGAAGATGTTGGTGCTTTCGGCCGTGGTCTCCGCCTGAGCTTCCTCATCTGCCGAGGGAGTATCTAGTTGGTGTGGAGGATCTGTCGTTGCATCAAAAGGATTAACCGACGCACCAACAAAGGTCTCCCCCGCCGAAGTCAAGGGAAAAAGGCAAAAATTAACAGACAACAATGGATAAAGAAGGGTTGGCAAAAAATAACAGAATGACGAGAATAAAAAATGAAAGGGGGAAATGAACGCAAGCATTTTCCCCTGTTTAACTCTTGACCCAAAAACAACGTAAAAGCTAAAGGCAACATAAAGGGGCAGGACCTTCTTGCCGATACATACCTGGGTAGTCAGTGGCCGGCCGGTACAGGACGCGGTATCCCTTGATGAGGCCGTTCTGGCCGCGCACGGGAGGCGGCCGCCACGCCACCGAGATGCTCTGGGACGACGTCGCCTCGCACCGGATCGTCTCCGGGGGCAGGCTGGGCGCTGCGGGGAGGGCACGCGTTAGGGCACGGCTGGCGGTGTGGTTAGGGCACGGCAGGGGTGAAAGGCATGGTTCGGGGAGCTAGGCGGGTTAGGTGCACAGCTAGGGGAGCTGGGCAGGGGTGAAGGGCATGGCTCGGGGAGCTAGGCGGGTTAGGGGCACAGCTGGGAAAGGTGGGAGAGTTAGGGGCACGGCTGGGGAAGGTGGGCATGCTATTGGCGGGTGAGCGTGCATTTCACTTGGATCCATCCACCACTGGTGAGCTCAGATTCGAATGCAAGAGTGAACAGACTGTACATGATGAGCAAGTCTATGATAACATCTCTTTTAGTAACGGATGAAATATTATCTTGTGAATCAGCACCTTCGTAGTAACATTAAAACTTCATCGTACTACGGCAAATCTTAAACAATTGTCAGTCATCATTTCTCAAGTAACAGGAATTGTAGCAACACAGAAGCTGAAGAAAAAAATAAACTGTAAGCCAAAATTCTAAATCAAAAACTAAAATCAATAACTAAGACAACAGAATGCCCTTCAATATTTTTTTTACCTTGGCTCAGAGAAAAGACAAGAAAAGATAATGTAAGCACCATGTTTCTTACACGTCACAGTTGGGATTTATATTGACCTAGTAGTGTTTTTTCTCAGGATTTATTCAGTACATAATCTTTAATCACTATCAGTCAATATCAATTACTACTAATTACTCTCAGCATTATAAATCATCATCAATCATGCTCATAAGGACTAATCACTCATCGATCAATCATTATTAAACATCACTCTCATCAGTCACTATCATCAAGCACTACCAAGTACTACCTATCATTCTTATCAATCACACTGATCAATCCTTATCAATCACAGTCACCATCAACCACCACCAATCACCATCAATCATAGTCAATCACTATCAATCACTCACCTTCAATCACCATCAACCACCATCCATCAACCACCACCATCACCCACATTCAATCATTTTCAAACATTAACCACCATCAAT